AATAATAATAATAACGTGACATTAATAACGCTCTCGATGATTTACTTATTTTAAATCGTAACATGCGTTTTTATCATTAGGGTGTAATGATAACAAAAAAATTTCTAACGCGAGACTAACGTCAAAATTAAATAATATTAATCAAATAGTATTATTATTATTTTAACGGTTGACATTTCCGTCGTGAATGAATACAAATCCATCGGATTCGTAATTAATTAGAAAGGCATAATAAACCTTTATTACGTTTAAAAAGAAAAATGGAGAAGGGTTGGTACGTGTCGTACGTATGCGTTTTATTACTCGATAATTTTTTTTTTTTTTTTTTTTATAAATTACGTTTGATATTTAAAAAATTTATGTCGAATCTTATTATGGAGAGGTATGATTGTGTGAGTGAATGATTTGAATATTTTCAAATGTTATTTTTTTTCTTAAAAAAAAAAAAGGAAAAGTGCGTGTAAATTTCATTACAACATATATATGTTAATAATTAGCGATAGTAAACATAAAGAAAGGTAGTGTGCGTGCTTTGTAGGGAAAATTGTATCATTCGTAACGAATTATCACCCCCGAGTTTTCCAAAAAATTTTCTTTTTTGTGTTAATTTAAAGTAAACAACGGAAGTGAATTTGTCGAGAAAAAGAAAAGAAAAGAAACGTGACGAACGTGAATTTTTTTAACGATTTTATTTAATACGGCATCCGTTTAATTACTCTATGACTACTCATTTTCAAATTTTTTTTTTTTTTGTTAATTACTCGTCGCGAACCTATCGGTAATTTTTGTAACTTGATAATTAAAATGGCCGTCAGAGCAATGTTTTTGTTTACTTTGCTGTGTTTTCGGATAAAAATTAATTAATTAATGATTAAAATATTTACGCGTAGTAAATTTTGTCACGACGTGTAAGTTTTGATGATTACGCGTACCTGAAAACGTAAAAAAAAAAAAAAACATGTCGACAAAATTTATTTATTTATTTATTTATTTTTTTTAAATTTTATAGTCGTCGTTTACATAAATTTTGTCATAAAGTTTTTATTTAAATTATTATTATT